AAGACTTATGTACTTACTCTTATTACTTAATATATTTTGTCCAATCAAATTAAAACGAGCATATTTTAAAGTATAAAAATATCAATAACAAGAGCTTGTTAAAAAATAAATAATGTATAAAAAATCCATATATCATGATCTCATTAGATACAAGCAACTTAACTATGTAACGCTTAAGTCCCTAAGATTTTATCTAATTTTTTATACTTCTACTAATAAAAAAATTCTTTTTGGCAAAAAAAACTAATAAAAAAAATTAAAGTCAAGTAGTACAAAGATTAAAAAATGACTTGAATAGTCACAGCTTTGACAGTCGTGTTCCGACAATGACAATACAACTGAATCCATGGGAATCATCAAAGCAAGTCGGGTGTTAACTAAACTAGGAATATATTGAGAAACTTTGACCAAAATAGCTCAACCAACGGTCACAAACCATGCAAGCTTTGGCATTGAGAAAACCGAAAGCAAGGAAACTACTTTTGCTGCAATCTGTATAAATGCCTCCAGCGTTTCCAAATTTTCCAAACTTCTCATCAAACACAAACACATTTCGAATATCCTTTCTCTCTTCGTTACAGGCAAAAACATGAGCGTAGAAATTCTCGACGGTGCCACAATAGTGAGCTTTGTGGAAGACGAAGAAGCATTTGACATATCAGTGAGTGATCTGTTTGGCCAACTTGATACAGACAAGGACGGTCTTCTATCTTATGGTGAGATGCTGAACGAGTTGAAGAGGCTTAGGGTTTTCGAGACTCACTTTGGGATCGACGTGAAGACTGAACAAGACGAAGCTGCTCGAGTTTATGACTCACTGTTCGTGCAGTTCGATCATGACCTGAATGGAAGAGTCGATCTGAGAGAGTTCAAAGAGGAGACGAAGAAGATGATGATTGCTATGGCTAATGGCATTGGCTTTGTTCCTCTTCAGATGGTTCTTGAAGCTGATAGTCTCCTCTTGAAGGCTGTTCAGAGAGAATCCATGGCCCCCCTGCTGCTTAATTAATTGATCACGATCCTTTATTTACTATTGGATCGTTATATTTCATGTTCTTGGATCAGTTTTGGGAGTTCTTTACGTCTTGGATTTCTTTCATTTTTTTTCTTTTCAATTAATCCAGTGAAAAAGATACTGATGTATTGTGATTTTGATCAGTTCGGCCAATTCAATTTGGTTGTAATTTTCAGTTTTATTATGACTGGTTTATGGTAAAAGAGTTTTATGTAATACTCCTCCGGTCCTAATTATAAGACCCAATTGACTTATTTGAGGAGATTAAGGAAGTAAGTTAAGTTGGTTATTTATAATAAATAAGTGTTGTCATTCCTAAAATATCCTTGCTAATTAAGTATATTGGCTAAAACTATCATTATTAGAAGGATTATCTTGGAAAAAAATGCATAAATATAAGAGACAAAATGGATTAGGGTCTTATAATTAGGACCAATAAAAAGTCAAATGGGGTCTTATAATAAGGACCGGAGGAGTAGTAGTAAACGTTCAGTTTATTAATCCACTTTGTTATTGCTTTGGTGACCAATTATGAAATTAATTTACATTAATTATCTCATGGTATTAAGACTTAGCTTGAATTTTCAGCCAATTAGACCAATGAACCAGTTTCTTTGGTGGGTCCAATCTAAAGTTTTAGATATATAAGTCGGTCGGATTTATTTAATTTTATCCTTTTTTGTTAAGCCCAAAAACCATGTGGTGTCGAGTTTTGAATTAAAAAAAATATAGTCTGTCACATTTTTGCCCTTCAATAAATTTGTTTCGTGAGATTTGTGTGGTTTATATATTAATGTTCTACTTACTTGTAAATTAATATTTTATTTAAATTTTATTATTTTGCAGATTACATATGAATATCTTTATATTTTAGTTAAACTCTGAAAAATTGTAATAGTGAATCCAATTATAAGTTATTTAAACAACATATACAAAATTGAGATAATTGAAGTCTACAAATAAAAAGGTAAGTATAATCCAATGATAACATATCGAGCACTCACAAATGTATTTTTCTCTTTATAGCAAACTAGCTATATTTTGATTGTCTTTACTCGATTATTGGATCTACCTTTTTTTAAGTATCTATAATTTTTATATAAATTAAGGAAAAATTTTCCTCACAAGCTTACATAAATCATAATTAAAAAGTTATTTTTGAAGACTCCTTCCGGCTACCTCCGTTCCAAAAATCTGAAACAAGTTTGCTGATTCATAAGTTATCATGTACTACTACTTCATAAATTATATTCCTACTGTAAATGAAATTTGTATATTAAATGTGAAATTTATTTCCTTTAATTTTGTAAGTCAACATTGCATGCAAGTACGTAATTATGTGTTCTCGTGAGAAGTTCAGTGTGTTTGAATATGAAAAAGTTGGAGATTATTAATTATTATTAAAGTGTCCGTATACGAACAAAAGGGCATAAACTCAGAATATTCTCATTGGAAGCTTGCCATCTTTGGCGCCGAAAGAGTAAGCCGTAGTTTTGACTTTTAAAAATAAATGATAGGAAAGTCTTTATTAGTTTACTTACAGCTAGATCCATTAACGGGCCAATTCATGTGATTGGGCCCATAGTGTAAGGCCACTGAATTACAAAACTACTTGGCAAACCAGTGGGAGAGGTAACCAATAAGAGTTGATTCGGTTGGTAAAGAGTCCGCTTTAACCTATAAGGTTATGAGTTTAAATCCTGTTACGGATATGAGGGTCTTATTAATGGGTAATCTATAAGTATCTCTGCAAGTGTTTTTTGAGTCTGGAAGCATGCCCTGGTTCTAGAAAACTCTTGGGATCCAACTCACCTAAACTTTTATGTTAAAAAAAAAAAGGTGTCAGAGAGCTGAGTACCAATAGGCACTGGTCACGATGAAAAAGAAAAATCGATCTTTTGATCCTTATAGTTTTGACTGCTTGTTGTAATTTAGTCCCTACATTTTGACTTAATGTAATTAAATCCCTAAATTTTGACTCGCTGCGACTCAGTCCTTACAGTTTTAATTATTTTATAATTTAAGAAATAATCCTTCTAATCCTATATATAAGATAACTCCCTCCAAATTAATAAATGTTAATTAGTCTCTCTCTTACTCGTTCTCTCTCCCCCCATCAATAATGGTGCTTTTAGGAAAGAAGTTGTATTTTTTAACATATATATATGGTCTATGATCAATTTTACTAGCTTTATTTACATAATTTCATCATTTGCATGTTGTAAAAAGGATTAGGAAGAGCAATAATAGATAATTGACCATACTATATTTGAAAATTAATAAAAATATGCACGTGTACAACATGCAGGCTAGCATATCATTATTCTTATAGAGAAAAAGAATAACGTGAAAGCTCAATTCAAAGGAAAAGAATTTGCACATATATTTTCTTGAAGATGTTGGACAATGGACTGCCTAACGGAGAAGTCACCCTCTTTAATAAACACAATTAAAGTATCTTTGTATGTCACGAAAAAGAAAGAACAAGCTACGACATGAATATTCAAAGAAAACACACAAACAGAAGCCTCCTATGATGATTTTAATATTATTCTTTTGTGTATTATAAAAAGCCACGAAACCAAATCAAATTTCATAGTTTCTTTCTCATTTCATCACTGTCTTCTTCGAAAGAGATCTTTATCTCATCTTCAATAATCATTAATGGCACAAATCCGTCTTTATGAAGATCTTCGACCTCCTTATGAGTGGGCTCGTGATGAACGAAGTGACACTCTCGTTATCCTCTTGAAGGTTCATATATTTGCCTTTTTCATATTTTTTGGATAAATTAACCATACGAATCGCACGTTGTTATTGTGTTCTATTAGTCAACAAATCTTTTGATAAATTATTAGTGTCCTTAAGTATTATTTCAGTGTTCTTCTATCACTTCTTAAAAAATTCTATGTTATTTGTTTGATCTGTCTTCCTCAGTCATGCATTTAATACATGTTTAAACCACCCCAGATAATTTTTATTATTTTGTCTTTAGTCTGAATATCTTTACAAGTAATTTGTCATCATTTGATGTGAACATGTTTTAATTTGTCTCTAAGTCCTAATTTTTATTTTTTAATTTTTGAAAATATTGAAGGCTTAATTTGGATTTGTGACTAGCAGGATTTTCAAGGAGCCAATTAAAGGTTCAAATATCATCATCACGAAAGGTCAGGATAAGTGGTGAACGACAAATAGATGACAACAAATGGAGTCGTTTTTACATGGAATTACCAATCCCATCAGATTCAGACACAAACGAAATTGCAGCCAAGTTTGAGAGAGGCACTTTGTATGTCAAGTTTCCAAAGCTTATCACTCCTGTTATCCCTCCCCAGCCATCGCAGCCGCCGACCCAACAAGCTCCACCGCCACCTCCTCCTCCACCTCCTCCTCCTCCACCGCCACCTTCGCCGAGAGGGGAACCGAAAGCAGAACAAGCAATAGAAAAGAAGCCTGAAAAGAAGGATGAGACAATGATGGACCAGAAGGGGAAAGAACCACCAAAAGAAGAGCAGAAGAAGGAAGACATTCCAAAAGGTAAAAATATAAAATGTTTAAGTTAAATTAAATACTCCTATAATTTAGAAATTGAAAACTTACTCATTCTTAATAAACAAAACAATATTACCGAGAAACTAGTTAAATCAATCACACACACAAACACGAATTCAATTTTTTTTGCCATAATTATTTATAAACACTTAAACATATATCTAAACAATAAAATGGATTCTGAAATACTATATAATGAAATTAAAATAGAGGAATTTTTAATTAGAAAAAATCCCAAAAAATGCCTCTTGAATTTTAAAATTTCAAATCAGTTTTGTTTATTACATTTAATTGGCAATTGAATACAGTTTTGTGGTAATTCCTAATTTGTCATTTAGCAATTTTTAAGGTATTTTATTTTTTTCCTTTTAATTATTAGATAATCAAAATTCAAGAGCTTTTTTTTCTCCTAATTTCATTTGAATCACTATACTTACTCAATCTAAAACAATATTATTCAACAACAGGCTTAATATTTTTTAAAAACTGATTATTGGATAAAATCCATAAATTTTCTGATAATTAATCAATGCTAATCCATATATATCCTTTTTTAGTTAATAGCCCAATGTTATATATAATAATTAACACACAAATCAATCCAGCAGGGAAAGAATTGGTGGAGGAAGCAAAAGCAAAAGCCCGAGAAACAGAAGACCGTCATAAGCAAGAAGCAGAATCCAGAAGAAGGGCTTCATTTTCTGAAGGACTGAGTTCAATGCAAGTTCAGGATTACAAGGACGCCATCGTTGGTTGGGTTGCAGAGCTGACGAATCAGGAGAAAGTAGTGAACAAGCTTGTGTTAGTCTTCGTGGTTCTTTGCTTGGCCTCTATCTCAAACACTTGATCAAGTCAGCTTTTGGAGGATCCAAAACCCACCAGGAGCTATAATTACATTGCACAACTTTAATTTGATCCCTTCAAATACTTTTAATGATGAAATTTAACAAAGAGAAATGAGAGAAAAAAGTGAGTAGTCAAGTCATATATTTGGAGGGTCCTAAACCCCAGACCTTTGATTCATCACTCTCAAGATCCCTTGCTATATGTACTTATGTTATAGCATGACATATACAAAGTCATTTAATTATTTGTGTGCTTGTTGTACATGTGTGAAATTTCTATAATCAGAGTTTCATTTCATTAAAATTCTTCTACTTTGTCAAAAATTACTAACTCAATGTACGTAGCGATCGACTTTTTTGTTAGAAGTACGAAGCTTGTAAATAAAATAAAGGGTTAATGTGCAAATTTATTTTAAAAGTTTTTACTCAATTTGTTCCGAAAGCCTAAAATATAACAATATTACCCTTTACTATTAAAAAATTAACATTGGCTGTTAAGATATTGACATTGACAGTTAATAATTTTAAATTTGTATGGCTCAGTTTAGGAATCTTTATTTGTTTGGCTGTCTCTTTGTTTTTTTGACAATAATATATTGCAAAAATTAATCTGTCAGTCCTTATAATTACATCAGATTTTGAATCAAGTCCCTACATTTTTTTTTCTTTTTATTCACTCCTTGTTATATTCTCTGTTGCCTATGCAAGTCCTTCCGTCTATGAAATACGAATTTGCTGTTAGTGGAGTGACATGGCTGTCTTACTAAGCACAAACACTGGAAAGGAATTGGGCATGTGATAGGGGAGAGAGCCACAGGAAAATAAAAAGGCACAAACACTGTCCTCTATTTCAGACTTCGGCCATCTCCATCTTTAGTTCTTCTCGTATGGCTTCTTCACCACTTTCACCACCACTGCTCTTTCACAATTGAGCTACTCATGGCAAGTTCTAAAAGGAGAAACTTCATCTCAATATCAGCACCACTGGCCATATCCACCATGCTAAATACTATTATTTTGTCTTCTCTAGTCCGTACAAATCGGTCCCCAACCTTCAAAAGCAAAGCCATAGTTGAAGTGAAATTTCGATAAGACAATAAAAAAGAGAATGAGTTTACAATCTTTTTTAACTTGACCCATTTTGCTTGGTACGTGTAATAAGTTATTTACAATGGTGGAGGATTGTGGAGGGGTTAATGAAGGGAAGAGGAGAGAGATAGGATGTGGGGGATGGAGTTTGGGGAAGTTTAGAGAGAGAGCAGGATGAAGAGTAAGAAGAGGGAGAAAGTATGAGCTTGGAGGAGTAAAAGCCATTGCGAATCATCATTGAAAAATCCCTAAGAATGTGGGGGGGGGGAGAGGGGAGAGAGAGAAGAAAGTGGTGTGGGGGAGAGAGGGGAGAATAACCGAAGAAAAAAGTTGATGTCAATATTTCTTTTTGTTTAATGCTTGTGCTAAGTAAGATGGCTACATCGCCTCCACTAATGGCAAATTAATGTTTCATAAATTTGAAGGACTTGAATAGATAACAGAGTAAATAAAAATTTAAAAAAATGTAGGGACCTGATTCAAAATTCAATAAAATTATAAGGATTGAGAGATTAGTTTTTCCTAATATATTTTGACTTTTGTAAAAAAAAAAGTTGCATTGTGAAAAATAATAATTATAATTAAAAAAATACAAAACATAACAAGAACTCGTTTCAAAACCTAAGAGCTTCTGGTTAAACCTGCGGAAAATATTGGTTTGGTCCTGTCATGATCCAGAGCCCTGACAAAAGTTAAACCTCCGCTAAATGTGAATCAGTCAAAAATTGAGAAAATGGTTTTAAAAAGAAATCGTTATAGGTTATCTAATTCTCTTCTAGCTGCTATATTAGAAATCGGAGAGAAATTTTTTTTTTTGGGTTTCATAAGATATATCATAACTTCACAACACATGCCCTCAGTCTAGCTATGTCATTATGTTATCTTTAAAATCTGTCCAAAATGTAGATAGAGATTATGAAAAGATAAATTAATGTCTCAATGTAGATACAAATAAAAGGTAAAAATGTATTAAGTGCTTGATTGCATTCAAATTATTCATATTTGTGAAAGTTTAAATAACATGATAAGTACATAACAATTTTTCCTCCCATTGCACATGCAATTTAGGCCAACCTCTAATTTAAAGGCTGGGTCATCTGATAAATTGAATAAAAAGAAAGAATAACATAACCATAATGTAATTTTATAGATTTAGGAATTTCTTATGCCCTTAAAAATAATGATAGATAGCACAATTAATATTAAATGGCAATAACATTAATTAATATAATAGATGTCATATTAATGTTCTAAAAGTTGGATCCTATGTAGAACTGGAATAATCAGTAATTCATGCTTCTCATGGTTGAACTGGTCAGATGTCATAACTAAATAATAATATAATAAAATTTAACTATATGCGTGCACATGCACACAAATATACTCTTCCGGTCCTTAATATAAGACCTATTTAACTAATTTGATTAGATTACAGAAGTTAGGTAAATTAGTTAATTATAAGAAAAGTGACACATTTTTTCTAAAACACCATAATCATCTTTCTTAATACCCCATCTCCCTCTTTTACTTGATTATGGTTGAGGGAGTATCTATAGGGGTAATTTAGAGAAAATAAAAATATGAGAAATGGGTCTTATATTTAGGACCAAAACCAACTCAAAAATTGGGTCATATATTAAACACCGAAGGAGTATATATATATGAAATAAATCAATAAGTCTAGGTATCAACATAATAATACCACAATATATGAAGTCTTCAGAAAAATAACATCACAGGACTATTTTAAAAATATATTGGGCTTTTTGAGAGGGTCATTTTTTAATAATTTTATTAATTTAATTTTCATCATTTTTCCCTTCAGTCCCAAGACTGGATTGATCGGTTCTTGATATAATTCCTGATTCTTGCTCAATGATAGCTCCACTATTGTTTAACTCATTAGCTTGACCATGAAAATAGTCTCGTAGTTCAAGCCAACCCATCGAGTCTAGTCAACAGCCCAACTGATTTATATCCAGAATATATAATAGTTACCAATTATTTTTTATTTTTTTTCATTTATTATTGTAAAATTGAACGCTAAATATTCAATTTTCTCATATTCTTTCCTTTAATTTATGTGCTACGTCAGTTGAGTTCTTAACATCCAGATGATCAGAAAATTTTCAGTGTGAGACAAAAAGGTCAGTAATCATTTGAGGATTAAGGTAGGAATTTTCCATAGTTAAACTGTTAAAAATGAGAAAAAGTATAGAGGTAATTTCTTTTAACCCAAGCCTCCCTCCCTTAATCTGAAAGCAACAAAATAATAATAATTTCAAGAAAGATTTGCATGGAAGAAAACTGACAACCAATTCTACCTTCCTTTTTCTTTTATATTTATGTATTTAATCATTTATTTATTTGCCACCTTGCATGAACTACACATGCCGACAACCTTGTGAAGTCCCAAACAAAGAAACAAAGCATATATATTTTCTTGCATCAACAACCTAATAAAGTCGTACACAGAGAAAACAAAGATCTACTTTACACGACAAGAAAGTAATAAAGCAAAAACAAATATTGCAGGAAACTATTTACGATTTGCGTGTGAATTTTGCACCACTATAGTATTGATAATTCTGGCTTATAAAAAGTGACACAGCTTACTAGGGTTATATATATGTCACCATCAAGGAGATCAGAGATCGGAGATAATATATAGCAGAAACCCTAAAAGCAAAAGAAAGACGAAGAACAAAGGAAGAAACTGATGGATCCAAAGTCACAATCTGCTGCCAATCGTGTCTATGAAGACTTTGAACCTGATTTTCAGTGGGAAAGAGACGAAAGAACGGCAACTTTAATTGTTCAGCTGCCTGGTAAAGTTTCATTTCCTTGTAATCACTTTCTCCGGTCTAAAATATAAAAGCTAGTTAAGGGTTTAAATGTAAAATTTCAATTCATTTTGTCTCTCGAATTCTTTTTTTCTTAAATTATCTTATTGATTATACATGTTAATGGGTTTCGTTCAGGATAGTTCTAATGCAAATTATTAAAGAAGATATTTTTAAAAAAAATTAACATATTTTTTTACAAATAAACTAATGCAGTATTTTTTTTCAAAACCTAATCTGAGGTGATTTCATTTTTGTTTAGAATAATGGTTTTATTTTTTTTTAATGAAAAACAAATCTGCAGCGGATTAACTGTATAGCCAACGTTTGATTCAAAACCCTCATTTTTTCGACTACGATTTACGGATCATCTTTCCCCTTTGTTTGGATGGGACCAAAAATTATTCTTGGTTACAATATTTCCTTTTTGATACAAATAAATATAACATTAAAATTTATATAAAAGTAAATATAACATTTTGCATGAACTCCCAACCTAAATTTTAGAAAATTCAAACCAAAATTATGTAATCTAGTAATTAAATTAATTCTCCATCCTCACCCTAGTCTCTCTCTCCATAGATATAGACAAAATGCTATCAAAATTCTATCAACATAAAGGATCCATTAGACATATGCTTCAATTTCTTCTGGTTTTTTAAAAATTTTTTTTTCAATTGAAACATCCGGTTAAAATTTTCTTTGTTACTTATTATTTTTTTTCAACACATACAAAGGGTTCAGAAGAGATCAACTGAAGGTTCAAATCACTTCAACTCCTGTGGTAAAAATAATTGGTGAACGACAAATAAGTGACAACAAATGGCGTCGTATCACCAAAGAATTCTCCATTTCTATTCCTTCTGACTGCGACACAAACGACATCACTGCCAAGTTTGAACGTGGCAAGCTCTTTGTCAAGTTCTCCATAAAAGAAGCCTCAAAGCCACAAGAACCTGATGATTCATCCAAGCCAAGAGAAGAAGACAAAAAACCGGAACCAAAACCTAGAGGTGAAGTTTCTGAACAGAAAGAGACAGTACCAGAGAAGGAGAAGAAGAAGGAAGAAGAAGAAGGAGAAAAAGATCAAGAGGCTAAGAAGAAAAAGAAAGTGACAACCAGTGGGGTGGTTGAGAATATACCACCTTTATCATCAGAAGCTGTAACCTCTAAAAATGGTGAAAGTTCGGGAGCCAACCAGCAGGGACTGTTCAAGAGAACAAAAACTAGGGTTTTGGATTACACAATAAGTTTGAAGCCGTCTTTCGAATCTGAGGATTTTAAGCAGCCGAGGAAATGGGTCAATATCCTCCTTCTCATATTGTTTGCTGTGGTTCTTATCATATACGTCAGGCAAGCATGCAAGTCATTTCTTGAAGCCATTTCCAAATTACAAGGTTAATTGTTGTAATTTTCCTTTCCTTCACGTCAACCTTCAACAATAAAATGTTTCTTTATTATTATTAATATAAATTTTAATAATTAATGAAATTTATGTCTCTAAGTCTTTTTCTCTTTTGCTCTTGTAGACATATATATATATATATATATATATTAGCATATGGCTTTTCTTTGTATTTATCCAAATTCTTCATAAACTGCTTCCATATGGCTCTGCAATATAGGTTGGCCCTGTTTGGTATACTAAATAAAAAGGAAAAAGGTATTGCAAAAGTTCGTGCAATGTTCCCTTTTTCGATCCTCCTGACATTGGCAGACGATACTGGTCTTCATTTTGGACGATAAAGATCAAATTTTTGCATTTTTTTTCTCACATAATTTTTTATATCTACATATTTTTTTGGAACAAAAATTAAAATTCATAAATTGCAAATGTGCATGCACAAAATTAAATAAATAAATGTTTTTTTTTAAATGTTTTGATATTATGCCAGATCGAATATATTGATTTGGGATGAGTATCAAAGACATTAAAAGGAGTGGTATTGACACTAATAATTTGAAATTACAGTCGGAATGAAACCCATGTTCGTTGGCCAAAAGAAAAAAACCAAAAAGAATCAAACTCATGACTTCCCACTTAAAAAGAAGATGCTACTAGGCTATAAAACCATTGCGTAAAATCAATCAATTTTGAAATCATGAAAACCGAAACCGAAACCGAAACTTGTTTGTAAAAGATTCTGTTCATTTTTCTCTTAGTTTTATATTGTGGGTGATCAAGAAGAAGAACCTAACAATGAAGATTCTGGAGAGAAAGAGACCCTCCGAAAGGAGAAGGAATTACTTAAGAAAGAAGGCACATGAATCCCCACTCAAGGACTAAGGTTTCCAATTTAAAAAGCTGCATTGCATATGTTTTCCGTGTCTCTTTTAAGCCTCTACATACAATAATTTATTAACTGAAGAGAATTCGACCTTGACTTCGTCTGCTCATTTTAAACTCACTTATCACAAACAAGTTGATTGCGAATAAGCTTGGCTGCAGCAACCATATTGGTAAGAGCAAGCTTCACCTCAGAGTATTTGCGAGTCTTGAGGCCACAGTCTGGGTTGACCCACAGAATGTTGCTCTCAAGAACTGCAAGCATCTTTTTGATTCTGTCAGCAATTTCTTCTGTAGGAGGGATTCTTGGAGAGTGAATATCATAGACCCCGGGACCAATGCCGGCGCCATATTTGACTCCTTCACGGAAGACTGAAAGTAACTTCTCATCTGATCTGGAGTTCTCAAGAGAAATCACATCAGCATCCATATCTATGATTGAGTGAATGATGTCATTGAAATTTGAGTAGCACATGTGGGTGTGTATCTGTCCAGCAAAAGCATAAGAGGTATTAAATTTCAAGGTAAAACTTACAATCTTCATAAACTTAGAATAATGAAAACCAACTTGCTTCACAAATTCATAGGTCTCTATTAACTGTCTGAACCATTCTGACAGAGGAAATTTGAATTTTGCACCTTTTTATATATTTTTCCCTATGGTAACCTGTTAAATGGAGTCCGGACTCCAGTGTGAAACCGATGGAATATAAGAATTAATACATTTTGAGGAAACCTATCATACTTTTACATTTTATTTTATTTACTTTCTGTTGTTGCTGGCAAGTGGATTGCTTTTTATTTCATTTGCTGCAACTGGCCACAGGGATGTTTTCTTCATGAGAAGCAAGCCTCAACCTGTACGTATTTCCCTCGTGTCCTTTGGGATGGCAGACTTTGATGAATGAAATCTTAAGTCCCACGATGCTTAGACAACTTCTTCCTCTCTCATTTTGTCCCCCCCCCCCCCCAAAAAAATCTTTCTTCATATCCCCCCTCCTTCTGGTTTTATCTCTCCCTTTATGTCTCTGTCTACATCTCCCTCTTTGATCTCCCTCTCTCTGCCCCCGTCTCTGTTTGCATGAGTAGTAGTGCGCGCGCGAGTGTGTTACATCAATAACGAGTGGGGGAAAAAACTTGTAATGTAATGCGTTTTAGTACGAAACGTAAAAACTAGACCTGTGTAGTGTCCTTAACACCGCAGTTGGTGATCCTAAATGAATGAACAGCCCAGTTAAGATAGAAAGCCTCCTCAGACTTCCTTAGAGGCAATCCTTCTCTCAGAGCAGCTTCATCAATCTGGATGACAGTAATACCAACTTTCTCAAGATCCTCAACTTCATCCTTGATGGCCAAAGCAATCTGGTAGCAGGTCTCAAATCTAAAATCAGAAAGTTAATTACCCAAAACAAAAATCAGATGGTTGATGTTAAAATAACCAGGCATAACATAATACAATTTGTTTAAGGAGTAGCCAAAGCTGTTAAATGTCAGACCTAGGCTGGTCATCTCTTACAAAGGACCAGTTCAGAATCGTAACGGGACCAGTAAGCATTCCTTTTATCGGTCTATTAGTCAGATTTTGAGCCATTGAAGACCAGAAGACTGTCATGGGCTTGGGACGGCTTACATCTCCATAGATAATTGGTGGCTTGACACAGCGGGATCCGTAAGATTGAACCCATCCATTGGAAGTGAAAGCAAAACCAGATAATTGTTCTCCAAAGTATTCAACCATGTCATTCCTCTGAATTAAGAAAGCATTTTCACAACAGTAATGACTATTTGAACAATATTTCCATAATAGTGTTGTCCTCATTAAATTTCCAATTTAACAAAATTATATGCTCCTTACCTCTGGCTCCCCGTGTGCCAAAACGTCGATATCAAGTTCTTCCTGGAGTTTAACTACTTGGTTGATCTCCTCCTTAATAAATTTGATGTAATCTTCCTCAGAGATCCTAATAACAAAGTAGATATACCAATTTAAACGAAAAATTTGTAAAACAGTGAGATTAGGGATACAACAAAAGAAAATGATATGATCATAGGTGCTGACTTGTTGGCCTTATATTCACGGCGCACTCTTCTAAGATCTGCAGTCTGAGGGAAAGATCCAAGTGTGGTAGTTGGAAGAATAGGAAGATTCATTTTCTTCTGTTGAGCTTCCAACCTAACATCTACATTTGTAGCCCTGCGGTGATTGGAACCTTTCAAAGCAGCAGCCTAAGCAAAGATAAATTTACAGCTCAGTAGCATACTTTCAACTTACAGGTCAATATATATAGTACAAGCATAATGAATAATCTTGGGAAACACGCACAGCCTTTTGGACAGCCTCATTTGTCACTCTTGGGGAGGACTTCCTTGAGGCCAACGCAGTGGCATTAGCAGAGAAGAAAACCTGCAGAAAGATGAGCAGTAATATGACGAAGAATATCCACTATATTATAAACAAGTTGCCAGAGCAGAAAAAGAGAGAATTTTCAAAATCATGGAATATATTTATTTTTGATTAAAAAGTCTCAATATAACAGCAGTACGCAGAAACAAGATGAAAATTTTCAGTGACAGAACAAATCTAGAAAAGCAACCAACAAAAGGCAATAAAGTGGTTTGAGAAGGTTTTAGCAAATAAACTGTATCTGCAAGGTGAAAATTTGTTTTTTTTTTTTAATGCCATTATAAATCTCTACTCAACAACTTCTCAAGCCCCAAATATTCAAATCACTATTCAATTGGGATTCCTAGTAAAAGGCAGGTTTAAATTTTTAACCAAAAAGTAAGGCTAAGAAAGTGCACCTCATCCTTTTGTCCACACAATGCCTTGGCCAAGGCATTTACCTCAACTACTTTTTGTGCCGCAAATGCAAGCCAAGACATAATCTCCTGGTCCAACTTAGTCTCATTCACCAGATCAACAGCCGTATGAAGAAGTGAACAAGATGAGCTGACCACAACCTTCTCTGCAGAAGCAAATGATAATGAACCTTTTAGCTTCTAGTATACGACAAGTAATCATTAGATAATGCAATCAAAAGTAAATTACCCTTTCCAACAACATCTTCAAGAGCCTGCAAGGTGCTCAGGGAAGATGCGAGATTGTTGGCCCAAATATTCCTTCCATCAACTACACCAGCAAACAGAAATTTTCCCGGTGGAAATCCCCTCTTTATTACATCAAGTGTCTTTGTCCCTCGAACAAGGTCGAATCCATATGCAGTAACAGCCTTCAGAGAGGTAAGTGTTTTGTATGCCTCAACAGGAACATCAGCAAAGTATGTCTCTATTAGAACATTCAGACCAAATAAAGTTGAATCAAGCTCTTCATAGGCATAACTAAACGCTTGTAATTGGTGAACATCAAGATCCTTGACGAGCATGGGTTCATCAAATTGGATCCATGTAGCACCAGCTGTCCTCAGTTGAGTCACAACCTCCCTTCAATAAATTATGAAGCATGAATAATGTAAACATCATTTATGATAAAAGGATATACGTCAATAGAGATTAAGGCCATGCATACTTGTAAACAGGAAGGATCTTATCAATTAGTGAAAGAAGAGGAAAAGATTTCTCAACACCCTTTGCTGGTTTTGACAGCAACAAGTAGGATACAGGTCCCACAAGCACTGGTACAGTGTCAATTCCTAGCTGCATAGTAGGAAGTATATGCATTTATAAAGATCAGAAAAAGAAGCAGAAAATCCAACCCCAAATTCTATAACATTCCAGAGTAGTGAAGTACCAGATTTCACTTAGAAGTGGAAAAAAACTATTTCTAGTAAAACGGATTCTGGCATTTATATACTTCCACAATTCATTTAGATTGCAAAACATATCCTTAAATGAAATGCAACAACCGCTTGATAGTGTAAGTCTAAGATGGCCTATCAATTTCCATCTACATAATAACACCACATGAAACAAGGAAATCTATGTACTTACAGCTTTGGCCTCATTGTATTCATCCACTGCCTTGTGTGATTTGTAGGAAAACTTAACATCTGGACCCAATTCAGGGACAATGTAATGACTGTGCCACAAGAGATTATAACTTTGCTCAACTTAAAAAATAATTAAACCAAAATCGCCAGAATCTGTGTTCACAGTTGGATATATCACTTAAGTGGACAATATCTGGAATGGGCAGCTGCAAATTATACCCTTTTTCTGACTGAATTAAAGTGAGTCTTTTAGATACACAAAAAGATAATAATAAATTTAATCCATATAACAATTTTCAACCATGATGCATGGATTTCAAATATTTCTTCCCATAGATCTTCCATATCAACTAAGTGTTTCAATTTCATCCATCCAATCGCATAAAAAATAGGATACGGGTACTTTGAAAAGCCTTTTAACAATTGCATTCATGCAGAAGTTACCTAGTGCCTCACATTATTCCATATATGAAAGCAATTAAACGAATGAATAATCTACTTACTAATTGGTGTCAAACCACTTGGTCATTTCCATAGCAGGTACAGATGCATTCCCTCGTGCCATGGAGAAGTAAATATCAAAGCCAATCTCCTCACCATTCCAATTATATCTAGCAGGAACAGCCCCAAGCATGGCTGTGGTGTCTAATACTTGATCGTAGTACGAGAATGTGTTGCTTGGAATATACTTGATTCCAGCAACGGCTGTCTGCTTCCAGATGGCTGATCTGAGATCTGCAGCAACCTTCTTCAGTTCCTCGACACTAATCTTTCGATCCCAAAATGATTCCAAGGCAAACTTAAGCTCTCTCTTGGGCCCCATGCGGGGATAACCAACAATGTGAGATGCCATTGATCTGTTATTGCCAATACACAATTTGAATATTTCGCATGACCAGCCAAAATATGCTCAAGAATAATTTATTTAAAATCCTATTAATTCTTTTGTGATAATGGCAAAACAAAGACAGAAGAGAAACAAGGTAATTAAACCGAGTGCAACTATTTGCAACAGAGATACAGGCAGGGGCAAAGGGGCGGCTCATAGTAGTAGTGGTAAAGCTACTCCATCACATTACAGTCTTCACAGAAATTATTGAAACATCCATTTCAGTTATCTTCTCTTTCATTTCTAGATGCCTAAAAAGTCAAAGGACCTGACCTTCAAAATATATGAGACCCTGAAAAGCCAAAAGCAGATGGCCACATCAAGAACATTACGGATATACTCAATAAAAGAAAACCCATTACATATATAGATCGAACATTGGTTCTAACATTAAAATGCATAATTAAGAACACCGAAATACAAGGAAGAATCAGAGGCAGTGAAGTAGAACTCACCTAGCAGTAGCTCTTAGAGTGAAACAAAGGAAAGATGAAGTGTAGGCAGAGAACGAGGGCGAGCGACGAGAAAATGCGAAGAACGCTAGTGATCGAAGCGAGACTACGTGCATTTTATAGCGCTCCAGAGCTCCCTTTTTCTTTTTCTTTTTTCCCCCCTATGATTTTCTCTCTCAACAACACTATGAATTTAATAATATAGAATCTAATTTTACAAGTCATTTTCAAATTTTCTGAACCCTTCAGAGTTCGGACATTTCGTTCTTTTATTATCATAGTCTCTTTATCCGAACTTTTTGTCTGGAACTGAATGATTTGAGGTAAGTTGCACTCATCAGTTTGTAATTATTTGTGAAAGCAAAAGAGATTTTATTTCATTCCAAGACTTTCCATCTCATTCGTGAGTTGAGATAAGTCGCCGTCAGCTTTTCCTTTCCCAGAAAATCCTGTAAAGAGTTGGACTATCCAAAGCAAGAATATTCACCGAAAACATGGGGCTATCCAAAGCTTGAAGGGGGAGTTGGGTTTTAGAGATTTCCGAGTTCAATGCTAGCTAAAACAGTTTGGAGACAATTACAACATGCCGGAGATTTTGGGTGTAGGATGTTAAAGGGCAAACACTTTTCAAACGAGAGTTTCCTGGAGGTAAAGAAACGCAAACGAGCGTCCTGGGATTGGAGCAGTTCGTTAGAGGGAAGAGGTTTCCTATTGGAAAATATGTGTTGGAAGATAGGAAATGGTAATAAAGTGAGAGTGGGGAAGGATAAATGGGTGCCTAATCTGCCAAAAGCTATGTTAAACAGCAGGCCAAATCCAGAAATAGCAAGAGAAGTTCCAAGGAAGAAGTTGAAGAGAGGTTCTGAATGCTCTTATCAGGTGCCAAACTCTATGTGAAAGCACGTGGGGAGGTTACAGATAACCCCAATACTCAAACACTTTTTATGGAGAATCATAAGACAGGATTCAAAAGTGCTACACACACTGGTTCATTGAGGTGGTTGGAATCAGTAATAAGTTGGAAGAGGAAGAAAAGCCGATTACTGATGCTACTTGTTGGAATATTTGGAATAGGGTGGATGCAGAAAGAATTTTTAGTGAGGCACAGGGACTGGCATGTGAATGTTTTGACGCTAAAAAAGAGGATGAGAAGCTGAAGCTAACTGAGAGAGTCAGAAATGAGCATCATGCCCAGTGATAAAAAAAGAATTTTAGTATAATCTTTTAAAAAGCTACTATGAAATTTGATTCATAAAAAATGTTAATCATATCATAATAGAAAAAACCTGGACTAGTTATTCAAAATGTCTATCATGATTATAAGAGTTTTATTAACTAAACAGTATGAAAACCATAATTAATAATATTTCACAATAACTGAGTCTTGAGCTTTACGAAGCTCAGATCGTCACATTTAACTCTAAAACCATAACATGATATTTTTTGAATAAAATTCTTCCATATCAACAGTAATTAACTACTTTCAAAAGTCAATATGGATCCACAACTCATAAACACAAGCAAACCCCTAGAAACTTATGACCTTCTACCAGCATGCAATCTAGCAACAAAAGTAATCAAGACAATCAATTTTAGATAAATCAGAGTATGCAAAAAGCTATATGTGGCAATATACAAATATTCATCACATGACAAGAAAGAGACTATACAAGATAAACTTAATATCCAAGTCTTCACCGCCTTCACTGACAGACTAACCCTAGAGCTATTACCTGAAGATGTTAAACCACGCGATGAAACAAAAGCCTTAGTAACCAAGTAAGTGTTTGAAAGGTGTCAAGTGGAACAGTTACAAAAATCATTACATTCACAATTGTCACATGGTTATATATACACACACACACACGAGCGCATAATATCTCACTCTCAAATTCACTTTATTTCCTCTGACTGAACTCGTGGGCTAGTATTGACCCATGTGACTGATCAATAGCTCACGTAATAAATTCACCGATTAAGTGATATAAACAGGCCAAAATCCACAGAGCAGAACACCAGACCATAGGTTCCCCTCTAGTCCACTGGTGGGTGTCACATGCCCTACAACACATGAAAGGGCTAAAAGATCAACCAGTATACATCTGGCGTTCTACCACCTTAATACCTCTATAATATGTACAAAATTTGCCTCCTTATTTTCTCTGTAATATGTCTTCCACCAATTAACACCATCTCCTCTCGTATTTAAACTCGTGAGATTTCTAAAATAATCATTTACCGATAACATAATAACTTTCACATTTATCGAAATCGAGATTTCTAAATTTCAATAATCAACATCAATCCTCAAAACCATTTCTCAATAAATTTATGTCTCACATGTCAACTTTATAAATTCATAATTTCATAATTATTTTTCAATAACATGAAGTATCCCACGGTAATTTCAATAATAATACATTTCATTGTTCAAATCATATCCCAATGGTATTTTAAGAATATCATGTAATTCAAAATTACTCAAAAACATCATACAAGCATACATAATAAGTAGAAGGTGGTTACCTTTCACCAAGGCTATAAAAAGAATTACCACAAAGTCAACCCCATGCTCAAACCAATAATCCAACAATTAATCTACATAATTAATATAATTACATATCAATATAAGCTAATTAATTAAGCTTGTATATATTAGTTAAGTTCCTAATTTAATTTAATTTAATTTTTATTCTAAATTCTCACAACTCTTATAACCCAAAATTAAATATTTTAGAACTAACTTATAAATTTTTTAACAATTCAAATTATTCATTTACATTCTTGAGATTATTTACTTTAATAAAAAGAATTTTTCAAAATTTCTAAATATGAAATTATTATATTTTAAATTCTAAAAATCTCATTTCCAGTTCAAACCTGAAAACCAAACCATCAAAAATTCAATAGTACCTCAAATATTTATAAATAAATAATCTAATCAAAACTTTAATGGTATAACTCTCATATTTCTTTTTCTTCACAAATAATAGAATTTTAGCTAAAATAATTATTTTAAAACCTCCAATCATCTAATAAATAAAACTAAACCAATTAAAATGTTAATAATATGTCAAATAACCTAAATAAATTATTTAACTTAATTTTGATCGGTACAAATATGATATATCTCATAAATAACAAATTTTTCAACTAAAAATTAATTTTTAAATGCTAAAACTAATAAATGGACAAATTTAAACCGATAGAATTGATCTACTATAGTATATCTACAATACTGTGGTTAATACTCATCAAAACTCCACACTTATCCCAAATTCTACATCCAAAATTTTTTTTCTAGACAACACAAAATTACTATCATTAGATAGATCTATTGAGTAGAACAATTTTTATGAAGGAATTTTTGTAATTAGAAGTAGTCTTACTTACCAAGGTTATCTATGACGATGAAGAAAGAAATGAGAGAGAAAGCGATGCTGCAAACGAATGAACCCGAAGAGAGAGAGGGAGAAGAGAAGAAAAAGACGAGGGACAATAAAAAGAAAACATTTCAGGTAAATTGAAGTTTAATACCCTATTTAAAATGGAGAAAATAACAGTTTGCAACCCTTTTTTTCTTCAATTTTCAAATATTTAAATCCTTAGAATAAAATTAAAATGTTACAGTTAGCCATTAATAAAAGGAGAATTAAGATAAATGTTGATGGGTCTCATATCAGCAAGTTAAATTCTATTGGTATAGGGGTAGCGTGTAGGAATCAAAATGGGGAAATTTGGGGGAAAATATTTCTGCTGCATAAATATATATATATGTATATATCCATTTATGGGATATGTTTGTGAAACCCAATTAGGTTTTTTTTAGCCAATCTTAAACCCCTCCTGCTTCAATTGTTCTAATTTGGCCTTAGATAATTGTAGTAGCTAGTGACTGTAATATATTTTTTTTTGTCTGAATTTTCTTTGGTCACAAGATGAAGACAAAAAAAAAGCATCTTATCTCTTGAGATAAAATGACTATGAGCAAGCAAAAGGACTGTTTGGGCTTCAAAACTTAGTAGCACAAAATAAAGCTTTCATTGTGAAGCTTTGTTGGGGCATGTTGACCAAGCCAAATGCTCTTTGGGTTCAATGCTTGAAATCGAAGTACAGGTATGGTGATAACTCTATGCCAAGCATCAACCAAAAAAAGAATTCTTCAAGAACTTGGCAAGCCATTACTTTGGTGTGGGAAGACTTCATACAAGGGGTAGGAAAGAAAGTCTAATGGATATGATACCAGCTTTTGGTGGGATCAGTAGCTTCCACCAGATCGCCCACTCATCTACTATGCGCATCATCTGCTGGAATTAATTCTATGTATAAGATGATTGATAACGTTTCGAAGGATGGTTGTTGTAAGGTGGATGGTTGGACAGACATTCTACCCTCTTGGATCATTTCCAAAATTGTCTGAACATCTACTCCCGCTCCTAGCTTTAATGATTGTTTCAATTGGAAAGCATCAAAAAATGGCTGTTTTTTTAGTAAAATCAGCATATCAGTATAATAGAGGGTATAGAGCAGGGATTGGAAGAAATTTTTAGAGCTGGTTATGGCAATGGCAGGTTCCTGAAAAGGTTAAATTTTTCATGTGGCAAGCTTCGCATGCGTGAGAGAATCATCACTAATGCACTCACAGCCAAGAGATAATTAACCAATTTAAATGAATGTACATTTGAGTGTACGAGATAAGACAGTGTGTTCTACATACGCTTAGAGATTTTTTGAGAGCAAGAGAGATGTAGACCATTATTTTAAAACATAACGTGCTTTCTAGATTTTTCTCTGGTAATTTGCATGTATGACAAACATGAAATTCCCAAAACAAACCAGCACGAGGACGATTTGGTCATTATTCCTAGACTAAGATGTTTAGTCTAGGGTGTTAGCTACTTTGGACTTCAAGATGCTCCTTTATTTTTGAAGGCACGAGTACTAGCACAAGGGAATCAATTCACAAGTGTCGTAATTTGCTTATAGGATGCTCAATGCTCCATCAATAATGAGTTCCGCCATCAAGTTTTCAA